TTTGTTTTTGGTTCAATTTTGAATAAAAAGGTCGTAAATTAGTTGTTCCTTATAATTTTTAATCCATTTGTTAAAAAAGCTTGAAACTTTTCCAGAAAGATCAACATAGTAGTGTTAATGTTTGAGAATTGTTTCTGAATCAGTATTTTCATTCTAATTTTAAATATGTTTTGTCAAAAAAAACTGAAACTATTCCATTTGCGTCATAGTGTTCATGTCTTAGAATTATTTGAAAACAAATCGGCCATTTTCATTTCTGGGTCAATTATTGACCAAAAATGGCCCTGAATCAGCATTTTCCTTCATTTAGTGGACTAGGTGACGTGGCCACTGACTTGGCTGCTGACTAGGTTGTCAACTCTACAAACTAGTCAAAACCAACTAGTAAACTAGTTTGAGGATATATAGGAGGGTTGAAACTTGTTTGATTTTCAGAGCTTGGACTTGTAATCCATATGGTTTTGAAGTTCAAGGTTAGAATTAAGTGACAGTTCTAGGTTCAAAGATGGACTTCCCTCCACAAAAATTGATAAGAATCACCTCCTTTTCCATTTTGATGGCAAATAACATGTTTGCCATGGTAGCTAAAATCTCTTATATCAACATTTTTCTAAACTTGTCATCTGATCAGTAAAAGAGTTATCTATGTTTGCCATGATATGTATATTTACCATGCTGTATATATAGGTGCCAAATGGGTATATATAATTTACATACTATACTAAAAACCATTTTTCAAGAGAACAATTTTTTAAAAAAAAACTTACCAAAAACAATTAATGTGGAACTTGCCATTTGCGGCATATACTCCTTGCTGGAATATTTTAAAACCATGGAAAATTTTAGAGCCAAGGGAAATTTAAGAGCATGTAAAAATTTTGTTGCTCTCATGGAATTGTTCTTAGAGCGATGGCGGTTTTTTCCTCTACACCACGGGAAAATTTGTATAAGTTTTTGTTCTGCCCATGGAAAATCTACAACGAGCGAAGTTTTCTAATCAAGGCAAATCTAGGATTTTGTAATGTTTTTTAGAGCCTCCATACATGGCAAAAATAATTATGTTTTCTAAAAGTTTTAGAGCCATTTGTAGTATTCACATGTCAAATCTAAGATCTTTTGTTCTCTCATACATTACAACTTTTTGCAAATGTGTAACACCCACATGTCAATTTAATTCTAGAGCCATGGCAAATTTTAGAGCATGGCAATTCTTTTTTTCTCACATGGCCAATTGTATTGCTTAACAATGACAAATTTTACAGAAGATCAAATTGTTAGAGCCGTGGGAAATTTTAGAGCTCGACAAAATTTTCCTACTCACATGTGAAACTTTTTAGAGCCATGGCGATGTCAGTTTTTCATAAGTTCTGCTATAGTCACATGAAGAATCTAGGTGGGGGTGGGGATGTTTTCTATATGACGGCAAGTGCTTTTTGAGAGCCATTTTCTAATGTCGTGCAAAACCTACTGTTTGCCATCTAAATAAGGTAGCAAAAAAATCCATGCCAACTTAAGGATGTATCGCTTTTAGTCTGGCCACTTGTCCTTTGAATTGTCTAGATCACGTCAACATCTTTTTCTAATGGCAACTTTAATATGCGTTCACTGGTTAATCTTTGTGTTTGAAGGACGGCAAATTGTTGTTCTTTTTAGAGCATGTTTTGCCATGTGTTACATGTTTCTTTACAACTTATAAATTTTCCATGCGACAATTTGAAATTTTCCAATTTGTTCCACCGAATACAAAACTACAAATTTGCAACGCAAATTTTTGCATTTTCCCCTAAATTTGGCCATGATTTTTTAGAAAGGAATTTCCCCAAAATTTTGGCATGTGAGCAGAACAAACCTTTTACATTTGCCATGATGTATCTACCAAAATTTATACAATTTGCCATGTTTTCATGGTTGTTGATATACTACTTTTTACACATAGATTACCATGATTTTTTTAGGTAATTTACATTGTTAGCATTTTTTTGCCTGTTTTCTTGTAGCTTTTTTCCCCTGTGGTGTACAATGGCAATAAGAAAAAGGTTTGTGTAATTTACATTGTCAGATCCCTAATGGCGTGTAAGAAAGAAAAACATGAACGGAGTGCGAGGAAAAACGTACTCTACTGAACTAGTACAAGACGCACTGGCGCACGTATTCTTCTCCAGGTTCCGATTGCGTATCCAAGACAAGACCGATGCATGCATGCCGTTCAACCAAGAACTTTTCTTGTTATGGCCGGCCAGGTTGTGAGTTGAGTTTGAACAGAAGAAATCCTGGTCTGGGTAATGCATGCCTGCATGCATGCATGTTCGACCAAGAACTCTTCTCTTTCTGGGCGGGGATGTGGCGGACTTGGATCCAAACTCTCCTTTTCCCGGTACGTCTCGGAGAAAAACCACCGTCCGTCGGTTGATTTCCTGCTCGTTTACTCCGAAATGGAAACGGAATGGACCGGGAGCGCTCGCCTCACCTGGTCCGCTGATCACCCGGCAAACCGGCATAGCAGAGCCCCGCTTTGTCAAACCAGAGAGTGACATGACAAAGAATGTGTGTCCAATTACGCGCTGGTAAATTAAAGACGGGAAAGGGACGTTATTAAGGGCCATTGCGCTGATTATAATTTGATGAGGCCAAGTGACTAACTATGCATCCGATCGATCGAGGAAGAGAATTTTGGGCAGAGGAACCAGCCGTATGTGCCGGTGACGAAAGGTGTTTGTGCGGACCGGCTCGTTTCTGTCGCTCGATACTCATCCAGAACAACTGTTTAAGTTGCATGTCTTGTCGCTGATATGTCATCTGAATTAATTAAAATTGCGTCAGCGAGTCCATAGCTCAGTGGACGAGCAATTGACTGCAGATCAATCAATATGTCACCGATTCGAACCCGGTTTCTTGCAAGGAAAAATATAAGGGGGGAAGCGAGGAGAAACTTACTCCCACTACTAAGTACAAGAGGCACACGGATTCTTCTCCAGGTTCCAACCACGACACCGGCCAATATGCATACCGTTCAAGGTTCAACCAAGAACACTTCTGGGCTGCACGGGTGTAGATTGAGTTTGAATGGAAGAAATCCTCGTGTGGGCAATGCATATTCGACCAAGAACTGTTCTGGTTTTGGCCGGGGACGTGGTCGAGTTTGAATGGAAGGAAACTCTCTTTCCGGGTAAAGCTAGTACGCGTACGTCTCGGAGAAAACCACCGTCAGTCCGTCCGTTGATTTTCCGGTTCGTTTACATGGAAATGGAGAATGGAGTGGAGCGGGTGAGCGCTAGCCTGGTCCGCTGATCACCCGACAAACCGACGACAGAGCTGCTCGCTTCGTCAAACCGGAGAGCGACATGACTGAGAATGTCTGTCCAATCAGGTGCTGGGGAGACCAAAGACTAGAGAGTGACATGATTAAGGATCTTTGCCCTGATTAGTAATTAGATAAGACCATCATATCGACAGAGATTGTTGGGCAGAGGAAGCAGAAAGGTGTTTGTGCACGTCTTCGTATTTATATCAATAAGCTAATTTAATTAATAGGCATCAATGGGTCCATAGCTCAGTGGTAGAGCAATTGACTGCAGATCAATAGGTCACCGGTTCGAACCCGGTTGGGCCCTTTTTTACACGCAATTTTTTTCCCTGCTATATGACTATTATTTTTTTGGATTTCTTCATTTTTCTACTAAATTTTATTATAATTTTTGAAAAAATCTAGGACGAACCACAACCTCAACATATATCCACCACACAACACACATTTTTTCCGACAAACAACAAGAAGTTCCAAGCCCACTCTTCAAGGATCTTGCATATGAAGCGCAAGTAGTGACATCGCCACAGAAATACGCCGGGCTCTTGAGGACGCTGTGAACATCGCCGACAAGGAGCCCGCAGATGAAGCACACCAGAGGATATATATATAGGCCCCCTTTGTCTGGGCTACAGATTCCTGAAAATCAGATATAGCTTAGATTTTAAGAATCAGTTGTGGCTGTGGGTGGATTTTGAGAATCAGAAGCTGCGTGTTTGTTTACCCAACTTTGGAGAAACCACAAGTACTGTGAAATGTCCACAACGCCCAGAAAGCCAGAATGAACAAATGCTCAGATAGAGCGATCGAGACCAAGATCGAGCTTAACTGAAGCAGCCGATGGAGGCTACCAGGCGCCACGGCGACAAAGGCATGTGGCCTCGTAACATGGGACAAGAGCTTTGGTAGGTTAGTCGCTAAGGAGAAAATTACCTTGTTTGGTGATAGAGGTGCTTACCATTATTAATTATTGCCCGTGCTTATCTAGCTAGTGTCCTTCTTCTCCACCTTACGCGCAAATCAGAGAATAATGTTGTAGTAGTATCTTTTAAAAGAACTCTTACGAACGGAACTTATAGTGTGACGTGGAGGATCACAGAGGGTGACAAGTGACATTTGGGTCAAATTGTTCAAGAGTCTAGCACTTTTACTACTCAGGGAACTTATTAATGCTGCCGATCAACGAAGTCACGGGAACGGTCTAGAAAAGGAAAGATGCCGGCAGAAATGGCCTCCAAGCTTACATGCGCGCACGATCTTGCACGTACGTGTGCGTCTATATATCCCCATGCGGTGTGTGCGTCTATCCTCGCCACGTAGCTCGGTCCGCCGGTGACGCCACGTGTACGGTCAACGATCACTTAACCCCATGCGACAGCATGCATGCCGGATCATACTGGATACACCTCATGCATGCTCCCTCGGAAAAAAAAAATCTTGTTTTGAAGGAAAAGAACAACTCATGCATGCACAGCTCACTTGCATGCATGCTAGTCTCACTTGGTATATTCGTTTTGTTTTGAATAAATTTTACAACATTACAAACTTCATAAAGTTTAAATTATGATAATAAAACTAATATGTTAAGTATTTTGCGGATATGTTCCTTGTCTACAATTAATTAACTCAGTATATATGTTTATGTAATCATCATGCCACGGGCTAGGTCGTGTAGTGCAAGCAAGCTGGCTATGATCTATTTGGTGTGCTGCTGCAGCGGCGTGAGGAGGAGCTGGACGCCGTCGGACGGCCGGAGCGAGAGCATGACACGCGGCGCGTGCCGGTACTCGGGCGCCACGGCCAGCTCGAACCGCCGCAGCACCATGGCCACCACCACCCGGTACTCCATCCCCGTCAGGTTCCTTCCCACGCAGATCCGCCCCCCGAACCCGAACGGCAGGTACCCCATCCGGTGCCGGCACCCTCCCTGCGCGCCCGCCGCGAACCGCTCCGGCCGGAACTCGTTGGCGTCGGGGCCCCACAGCGCCTCGTCGTGGTGCATGGCCACCACGTCCACCCACATGTTGGTGCCCCGCGGGATGGTCGTGCCGGCGCCGTCGACGGCGACGTCGTGCAGGGCCTGCCGCTGCACGTTGGGGGACGGCGGGTAGAGGCGGAGCACCTCGCTGAGGACCCACCCCATCTTGGTGAGCTTTCCTAGCGCGGCGGCGTCGAGGGGGCCGTCGGCGGTGACCTCGCGGAGCTCGTCCCGGAGCGCGCGCTGCCACTCCGGGTGCGCCGCGAGCATGAGCAGCGTCCAGGAGACCGCCAGCGCCGTCGTCTCGTGCCCGCCGAAGAAGAAGGTCTTGCACTCGTCCACCAGCTCCCGGCTCGTCATCAGCCTCTTCTTCCCAGCTGCTTCCCCCGCCTCGTCGTTCCCGGCCAGCAGCAGCGAGAGCAGGTCCTTGTTCTTCTTCTCCTGACCGCCGGCGTCGTGCTGGCGGCCGCGGCGGGAGTCGATGATGTCGAGCAGCAGCGCGTCGATCTCGCGGCCGAGCTTCCACGCGTCGTAGGTCTTGCGGAGGTGGAGCAGCCTGGCGAGCGGCACGCCGACGAGGCGGTTGGAGCGGAACAGCATGGCCTGCATGGCCTGCAGCTTCTCGAACACCCGCGCGCCGCCCTCGTCGCCGATGCCGAAGCTGGCCCTGGCGATGATCTCCGCCGCGTTCCGCACCACGCCCCTCTCCACGTCCACCACCGCCCCCGCGCTCCGGCCCGCCGCCGCCACCGCCTCGCTCCAGTCCCCCAGCATCTTCGCCGTCGTCTCCTCCATCACGCCGATCATGTCCTGCACGCGTAAGTACAGTTGATGTCAGTGCATGCATGCATGGATATGTAGAGTACGTCTGCATGGATTTGAAAGCAGGCTCGAGTATGTAGGGTAGGGGTAGGAGCACGTACGTTGAGGTTGGTGGCGGAGAAGGCGGGCGCGATGATGTGGCGGTGGCGGGCCCAGTCGTCGCCCTCGGCCATGACGAGCCCGCGGCCGAACATGGGCATGCGGTCGCGGCGGAACACGTCGGGCTTGCCCCACAGCCGGCCCATGGCGCCGGCGGTGGCGGACTTGAGGAACTCCGGGTCGGCCACGTACAGGAACGGCTCCGCGCCCAGCCAGTACACGAACACCTTGCCGAACGCGCCCCGCCACCGCGCGAAGTAGGGGAACACGGCGCCGTGGATGTCGCTGGTCACCCCCGCGCCCGCCGTCAACGTGCCGCTGTTCTCAGCCAGCGAGGCCGCAATCTCCGGGAGGTTGCCGAGCGGGAAGGACGGGGCCGGGCCGCCGAAGCCGGACCCGCGGAGCCGGCGCCGCGTGGCCGACGGCGCGAGCCACGCCGCGTGGAGGAAGTAGAGGAAGGTGGCGAGGGCCAGCACGGCCGCCGCCGCCACGCCGCCGTGCGCCGTCGCCCGGAGAGCCGCCGCGAGCTCCATTGGGGCTAGGGCTAGCTGATTGGGAGTTCGATGAAGCAAAGAATGTCGCTGCGTCGGTGTGATGAGAGATGGTTCGATGGCGTCTGGTGTCTCGCGCGTCGGGTTTATATAGAGTGGAGGAGATGAGCGGAGCGGCCATGGACGGAGGCGTGGAGGGGAGTAGGTGGGTTTGACCGGCTCACCGGTGGAGGAATGGTCGGAGGCTGGCAGCGGCCGGGCACGTAGCAGCAGCAGTGGTAGCACGCGGCTTGGCTCCCCGAGTGGAAGCATCGGGTGCTCGTCCCATTCTTCGTCTCGTTTTCACTTGCGTATAGCTTCAAATTTCTCGGTCAAACGCGGGCCGCAATGATCATGATCATGATCGGCCAGCTCCGGCGAACGATTTTCAGACCGGTCAGGGAATATTTCCGGTTGATTGTTACTACCTTAATTCGAATATTGTTACAAGTTTAAGTCCAGATTCTCATTAAGTTCAGAAAAAAAGAAGTCCAGATTCTCATTCCCGCTTCAGCCATGCAAATTTCCAGATCCTCTTGGAAATACCAACGTACGTGTTCAAAGATTTATACTCGCCGTGGGCGCTTTCTGTTACAAATATATGCCCTTTGCTTATGCCGTTCGCATTCTGGGTATGGGCATCATGAAGCTTCCTTGCAAAATGTTGCTTAATTAAATTCCACACATTGTTAGCTGGCTAAATTCCTTAGCTAGACGACGGCCTACGAAACTAACCATTTTTATAGTTACGAATTTAACTTTTTTTAAATACCCATGGAATTTAACTAAACTGTAGGGGTCGGCTAGGCCATGAAAATATTCCCCGCTGCCACGACTTTTCTCTATTCTTTTTGAGAGAGGTCACCGTATAGACCATGTGGTGCGCCACAACCCACAAGGAACCTTTTTCATTCTTCACTAGATAGAATACCACATGATGTGGTACGCCAGCAAGGGGTATATTACGCGGGAAAAGTAACCGTCACGCCACACTTTTCGCAACATTACCGAAAGCATTTATTACAGTTGATCTTGGATCATGCTCCTTTAATCCCCAGTTTTGTATCTCCTTACTTGTCGTGATTTAATTGGCATGATTAAATCGCTGTCTCTTAATTGGTATACAATTAAAACTTGGTCTCTTAATTGGTGGGATTAATGGGGCTCAAATTTTGTGCCTGTGGAATAGGACTCGAACTCTAGCCCTCATCATTCTTTTTTTCACGCACACTCTATTGCTATAAGAGCATCCGAGAAACTGAGCCAACACATCATATTAAGATTGCCGAAGTCGCCACAGATGCCGCGGACGCCATTATCAAGTCTAAGACTTGAACTCTAGTGGGCTGGAGATACCACTGTCCTCCTAACATCCAACCACATGTTAATTTGCGCCCTCATCATTCGAACCTTACAAGATAACCAACTCCGGTAGCAATTCGATGTCTATGGTTTCAACTAAAAGTACATGTAGATTGCAACTTTGAATTTGTACGAACTCATTGAAGCCCGCATGAACCTTCGTGTAGCGTCGTAGGCTTGATAACTTATGTACAAACATAGTAAAAACTTTTTAACTAACAAAAAAGTTGTTGAAAAAATACCCCCGATAACTTTTGTGTAAACAACATGATAATATATGCACCGCATAACATGAAGATACTATTAATGTACGTGTTCAAAGATTTATACTCACCGAGAGCACTTTCGGTTACAAATTAATGCCCTTGCTTATGCCGTGCGCATTCTGGGCAAGTAAAGCTTCCTTACAAAATGGTGCTTAGATTCCACACACGTGCTCTCCCTAGCTAGATGGCTCTAGGAATTTTACCTTTTTAGCATGCCCTAAGAATTTATTAAACTGCAGGGCTAGGCTAGGCCATGAAAATATTCCCCCATGATGGGTTCTTTGAATTCTTTTCAAGATATATTTCCACAGATGACGGATTAATTAACACTTTAATCTGCACGTGTTTGCAACAACAACAACTGAAAATGAAGGGATGGCCGGGCGGCGGCAAACTGGGGGAAGAGGCTACGCGGGCCATGGGCGGCCGGGGACAGCGATTCGGCCTGCGGCGGTGCGTGGGTCGACGGCAACTGGGCGAGGGGACACATCAACGGCAAGGTTCAAAACTCGAGTGACCTTGACAACAATGCGAGCAACTTCTCGCAAAAAAAAAAAATGCAAGCAACTGAACAATAGCAGGTCCCTGATTTGCAGTCAAATACTACACATGAGTCTGCATTTCTTTTGTCCTAGTCCCATTTTGCAGTCGCATACAGATAAGTCTGCAGTTCTTCTATCCTTTGTGAATGTTGGACCGTACGCTAGGCCTGCGTACATGTGCTGTCGTCTAGATGCATCTGGCCACAAATTAAATTAAGAACACAGCGTTGCCAGCGTTACTAGTTTCTATTTTTGGGTTGTTTGGTGAGCTTGGATTTGCTCACATTTGCGTCAAAAGCCGTTCAGCACGTCACATCTATGCATGGATTGTAATTAACATGTGTGTGAACATCCATCACATGCAAGCAGTGCTCTGCCTTTTCAGTTCGAAGTGCTTTTCAGCTCACTTTCTCCGCTTCATACTGTTGTCAAAAAGGTTTAGCGCGTCACATCCACTCACGGTTTGTGATTGGTAGGGAATATTCAGAACCAATAATCGCAAAACTGCTCGGAAGGCCTCATCATGTACTTTGGTTACTGATTTATATATAAAGCGGGACGAAAGCCTGGTTTGAAAGAAACTCAATTATTCTGGAAATCTGGCCATAAAACTGTAAGAAAGAATGAAGGTGTACTTCTGATCCCAAAAGCTCCTTTATGAACAGTAAAAATCAATAGGGAACAAATTACAACAGGACAATTTTTGACAACAAACATTACTTACTGTTCTTACTCATACATATTTTTTGATGACTCACATGCGTGATGGACAGGGAAAAAAATAAACAAAATCAATACTCCAAAATGCTTTAGAAAATAGTGTTTTTGGAGCATTGATCTTGTTTTTTTTGTTCACTGAATATTTGCAGGTATATAGAACATTCAACTATGTTTGTCTAAAAAAAATCAGATTTGTTTTTACTATTCTTTTGATTTGCTGTTATGAGGGTGCATCTGAGATCAGGTGTAGAAACTCCACGTCCCAGAAAAGATGGAGAATTCAGAAATTTACGACAAGCATAGAAAATTCATCAAAAACTACTTTGAAGTGCTTGTTGTTCATTTTCATCCTCTCTCATGCAATTGTGAAATGTTTTGGCGGATAAATGGATGCATAGTCCGTGGATCGTGCAATAATCGTAACAATGTTGAGAAACATGAACGTTAATTTTTTTTTCAAACAATCTAAATTACAATACATGTGGTGGTATATAACGAGCGCAACATCAATGTTACATAACGCTTTAGCCCATGAGTGCCTAATCAGTTTTGCCGATTTTCATTGTTTGTTTGCAAGATTTATGTTTCTGTAGTGCCATGATTTTTTATGTTATTGTTAATATAATTTGTTCCTCATTTTGTTCTTCTTGGTTTTCATTTTCTTGAAACGGAGGCAAGATACTTGTCTCGTCTCATTTGTAAAGGAGAAGTATAATTGCCCAATTAACTAGCAGAAAACCAGACGAATACTAGTTATCACAACAGGCAACCACAACAAAGGGCAACATCGGTCGTCCTGACTACGCACACAAAGACACACAATCATCAAGAAGGTAATCACTGTCGAGGTTGCTGGAA